TGCACCCATTTTTTTTTTGAAGCATCATGGAATTTTAAAAAGTTAGATAACCTCTATCTTTGTATACTTCATAGAGATTAATTTGAAAGAGAAAGCTCACTCACAATTTCAAGAGTTTACATTTCCAGAGTCTGGTAATTTGGTATTTCTTGTGCAAATCCTTTATGAAAGAGCAGGCAGTCACAAGCAGATTGCTTTATCATTCAAGGTCACTGCCTAAGTCCAGAAGTCAAAAAGCTTCTAAGAGTCTGCCTATCTAGTCAGTGTTTCAAGTTAAATCAAATTCATGTTAACGTTGCCTACAGATGAATCTTACTATTTTATTTTAGGCTTATCATATACTTAAATCCCCTTCCTAAAGGGTTATGGGGAGTGGCAATTTGAGATTTAACTCTAAACTTACACGTCTTATACTTTGAGGGAATCCTGATTTACCTATTTTAGAATGATGCAACAAAGCACTATACTGACCTTGTATACATGAGGAAGCCTAGAACAAATAAGATGTGTTAGTAATACCTTGCCTATCAGTACACTGACAAATACTTGCTTTTGAAGAAAGAAAACACTTACAGAAGCCTTTTCTTCAAGTCTGCTACATGCTTCCAACAGCATGCAAACAGCCACAGACTAGGATTTTGATTCTTCCTAAAGCTAGATATGCTGAAGAAGCAACTCCTTTACTGGATTTCTGATTTATATAACACCCTTCCTAATAAAAGGTGTAGTAGCTTACAGTAAAAACAAAGACACAAAAACCAATACCCGCCCCCCCCCCCCCCCAGAAAAACTTAAAAGGGCAACTAGAATAAATAAAATGAGCCAGAAAAAATAAAGCAGAAACTCGCTCAACATCACCTTGGCCTAGCCTTGGTTGCTAAATGCCTGTTGAAATAAAAGTCTTGCTGCACTTGTGAAAGCTGTCCAGGCTCAGGCTCTGGTAGGCCTTGAGGGAAGGAGGTCCATAGCTAAGGAGCAACTGCGGAGAATGACCTCCCACGTTTTGCCAAGCAGGCTTGGCATACTGCCAGTACTTGCAGGCGGTGCTCTCAGCTGACACTAGGGACTGTGATGGGATGTAACGGAGAAGGCAGTCCCTTAGATATATAGGACTGTGGCTGTTTAGGGCATTATTGGTCAAAAACACCACCTTGAATTGTGCCTGGACAACTATCAGAAGCCAGTTTGGACACTGGAGGACCAATGCCTACTCCTGGAGACCCACACCCAAAGCAGGCTGCGGCGTTCTGCACTAGTTGAAGCTTCCAGACGCTTTTCAAGGGCAGCCCTCTGTAGAGTGTGCTGCAGTAGTCTAGCCTTGAGGGTAACAAAGGGCATGGATGAAGGTGGCCAGATCAGAGTCTGAAAGAAAGGGTCACACAGCCTTTTCACTGGATGGGAGTTGGTGAAAAGTGCTCCTAGCTATGTCTACCAGCTGATGATCCAGAAGCATCCCAAGGCTGCACTCTGTTGATGACAGGTGTCCCAGTCCCCAAGCCTCACAATCACCCATCCGTCTAGTGCAGTTTCAATTGGTCCACCTACGTCTAGTCCCCAGCTGCAGCAAAGCACTGAGAAAGATGCACTGTGGGGCCAGGGTCAGAAGAGACAGAGGTAGAGCTGGTATGTCATCAGCAGGGACCCTGGTTTTCTCCAATATAAACCCTGCCCTTCCCCCAACTTTCAGTTAAAAAAAGTAACCCCAAATCCACATTTTTCCATGATTTAAATGAAACACCACTGTATATACACCTAAAATCATGGAAAAAAGTAACCCCAAATCCACTTTTTTTTTTTAAACTGAAAATTGGAGATTTTTTTTTAGATCAGAGAAAACCGGGATCCCTGGTCATCAGCATACTGGTGGCACCTCTCTCCAATGCATCACAGACACATTGAGCAGCAGGGGAGACAAGATGGAGCTCGGGAGACCCCACAGGAAAGATCCTGAGGGGATGACGAGCCTTTGCCCATCACTCCTCTCTGGCTGTTGGCTAGGAAAGAGAAAAAAAACAATAGAGAACCATCCCACAAATACCTACTAGGCCATATAAACATTTCATCAGCACCTCATTGTTAACTGTAATCAAAAGATCAGATACAATCAGCAGGGCACAACTTGCCCCATCATTCTCCAGGCAAAGATGGTCACCTAAGGCCACAAGCACAGCCTCTGTGCTATATTCAGGACAAAACTAGACCGGCAAGGGTCCAAGAAACCAATGGCATTCAGATGTGCCTGGAGTGTCAGGCAACTACATGTTCAACAGCTTTCCACAAAAAGAGAAGGCTGGAAAGGGGGTGATAACTGGATGGGGAGTCAGCATCAGGTGATGGCATCTTGAGCGGGGCCTGGACAGTCACAGACTTACGAACATTCAGTATGATGCCCTCCCTAAAAGGGAAGCCTTGACAACCCCTACCAGCAGTGGCCCCAATCTCCCCCAGCTGGCTTTTACAAACCAGGTTGGGCAGAGGGTCCAGTTCACATGTGACTGCCCTTGGTCCAGTTTACACCCAATTTACCCTCATCCCTCCAAGCACATCCTTCATATCAGTGAAGGATAGTGATTTAAAACTGTCTGTATGAACATGACAACCCTAAACTCCGACTCTGTAGCAACTGATGGTCCCCAAAGCATGGAGAATATGGGCAATTTGGACTGCAAAGTAGTTGGCAAACTTGTCACAGCAGACTGAAGTAGACTTAGGTTCTGGGCAGAGATGAGCCAGATTAACCAGGCCATTTACCACCCAGAACAGTTCCACTAGACAACGCTGGCAGATGCAATGGTAGTTGAGAGGAAAAGCTTTTTTGTTGCCACAACAGCCATAAAGAAAAATCAAATCAGTTGGCTTCAGCATTGGTCAAGAGTCACTTGCACTTCAGCTGCCTACACTTCTGCTTAAATCTACCTCAATTCCCCTATATACCAGAGGAATCCGTACCACTACAGTGGTGAGAAAACACCTAAATACCACAGTATGCTATTGCAGGCCCATCGAGGTCAGGAAGCGTGCTCCCCAGAGAGTCTGGAATCCCATTGGCTCTATGAATACCTGGGGGAAGACCAGCCTATCAGGTCTGTCACCCTAAAAGGGACAATGGAGGAGAGAGATCTGCACACCTCTAAAAGGCAGTCGTCTGAACATGACACAGGTTTCTTGACAACAGATCCTGTATTCAGGTAGGTGCAAAACAATAGGTCTGACGTGTGCCCCACTTCATGGGTCAGCATGGAACAACCACAAAACCACCTCAAGTTTGAAGTAATGATGTTCTGAAGTCCCATGAGCAGCATATTTCTGCCCACGATTTCATATGCAAGAGATTTCCACATTAGAGTCTGAGATAAAACAGAAACATTCGGAAAGAAAAAGGTTGCCCAGCCCCCTTATGTTAGTATTTTCAGAAAGTCAGGAAGACACCTTTTTGTAAGAAGTGGAGTAAGAAGAGGAACATACAGTAAGTGCTTTGCAGTATATTCAATATGGATTGCAGCAAGGAACATCAAGTAACTCTTGCTGCAATCCATCAGATAACGCACGGTGTGCTTGACCTTTTGGGCCCATATGCTGGGATTGGACCCCGCCCAGCCACTCCCCCACTCCTGGGGATTGGGCCAAGAGACTGGGTTCTGCCCAGCCTCCTCCCTCCCCCCAAAACACCTACTCTAGCATGCAAGGGCTTGTGGGCCTCCCCACAGATCTGGAAACCTGGCAGTCCCAGGGGCCAAATCTGGTCCACAGGCTGGGGGTTGAGCACCCCTCAGACAATTCATTGCTCGGAATATGAAGTACACCTCAAGTGCCTAGCAAGATATGTACCAGAACTGAACATTGTGGGGCCAAAATGTGCTTAAAGCACTGTTAATGATTTGAGAAACTAAAGTGCAAGGGCTGAAAATACTGTTTACACAAAATCAAGCATGCCATCCGATTAACAGACTTTAAAAAAAAAAAAA